TAACTAATGGAAAAATGGTTATATTCTTAGCAGCCAGTCCATAAAGAGGAACCCAATTCTCCTGAGTGTTTCCTGGAGCCAAACAATGAACCATCTGCACAGTTTACCAGTGACTCTGTTCCTCTACACAATTTGGAGGTGATATATGCAAACTTTATGTTCCACATTGTCTAATACGCCTGATGAATCAGTTTTGCTGATGTTATTTTTTTCTTCTTACATCACTAAAATGAGAGCATGCCAGTTTCCCCTTTAATAGCAGATTCCTGTCTCCAGTAAAGATTTCCCTTCAGGTAGCAGATTTGGTGGTTTTTTTTTTTTGGTTTTTTTTTGTTGTTGTTGTTTTGGTGAGGCAATGGGGGTTAAGTGACTTGCCCAGGTCACACAGCTAGTAAGTTTCAAGTGTCTGAGGTCGGATTTGAACTCAGATCCTCCTGACTCCGAGGCCGGAGCTCTATCTCCTGCGCCACCTAGCTGCTCCAAGGTAGCTGATTTGTTGCATGGCCTAATTGTTGAATATATAAATAATTCAGCATGTGACAATTATATTTACTTCTAAAATAATATGGTAAAAGTATATTAAATAAAGAAAAGTTAGGAGTTGGGTTTATTATTGTTTGGAGGGGACAGTATTGCATCTTCTAATGTGATAAATATGTAAGTTCATTCATTCTGTAATGATGAGTGTCTGATTACAAATTAGTCTAATATTTTTCAGACATGGAGAGATGTAGACTGGCAAAGATAAAGGAATGCTTCTTTAAGAGTCAAATAAAATGTGTGTTATTTTGTATTTTTCTTTCTTAAGGAAGAATTCTTGAGAATTATATTCCTACTCCGAGAACAGGGACCATGTTTTTAGCATTCTTTTTGTGAGGTTCTAATACACTTAGGTTCTTGGTTAAATGATAAAGAACAGAGAAAGTGCAGACAGGGAGCTGAACTCATAGTTGAGATTAAAGTAAATTTGGAGTGGAACTTCTTGTAAACAACAATCCGGGTGATCTTTTAATAGTAGCTTCTTCTATGAAAGATATTTCCAGTCTGTGTTCTGTGTTCCATAGGCCCTAGGCTGCTGTAGATGATGAAACTAAGAACCTAGGAGAATGTTAATTCTAAAGAAACATTCAGTCCCTAAAATATAAAGTATAAAATCATTTAAGTTTCAAAAATATTCCTTAGATGTAGCAGTTTTTTGGCAAGGAACATCTTTAATTTTTCTTTTCTTTTCCACCAAAATTCCTTTGACTCAAATGTCCTGGAACTCTTGGAATAGAATTTTATGAGTTCCATTAATATATTTCAAGCCCTTATATTCATTTTGCGAAATGAGGGATTAGTATTTATTTTGCCAATATATTGAATGCCAGTTTAATCTTTGTGACCCACTACTGGTGCTTTTGATTTTCTTCCTCCTTTTGAAACCCACTCTTTCTAACCTGGAGCAAGAAAAAACCTTTGGACAAATAAGATTTTTGCTTAGTTAAAGAACACGGTGTGGTGAAGTGAAAATGTTCTAGATTCTAATTCCAAAAGTTCAAATCCTGGTTCTGCCACTGACCATCTCTGTGATGTTAAGCAAAGCACTTAAACTCCCGGGGCTTCCTCATTTTCCCTGTGCATTCAGTTCTTTTCTAGATGTGAATCTATGATTCTATGAGTACAAGGGCTATGAAAGCTGTTATCAGAGCCATTACTGGAGCATAATTTCCATCATTTGATTTAAAGTTATGGGATTGATAACTGAGGGATATTGTTTTTCTCCTCCCAAGTGCATTTGTTGCTGACTTGATAAATGATATATGTCAGTGTGTGTGTGCGTGTGTGTGTGTGTGTGTGTGTGTGTGTGTGTGTGTGTAGTATTTTGTAGTGTAATAAATTAGGTAGAGAGATCTTAAACTCCTTGAGGGCAGGAACCATTTTATTTTTGTCTTTGCACTTCCAGTGCCTTGTTGCCTGTCTCATAGCAGAGATTTAATAAATGATTATTGATTGATTGAATAATCCTACTTTACTTAATTCACTTGAATAACAGTTGGTGTTGGCTTACTGTGTGATCTAGTACTATCAGGGAACATGGGAATAAATCTAAAGTCCACATATACTAATTTTATTGAAATTGCAGGTGATGCTCATCAGGGAAGACCTTTTGCAATCCCCGAACCAGGAATTATACTTTGCATTTTCCAACAGTTGACAAGCCATGAAGATCCCTGACTTTCAGAACTTGAACATCTCCATCCTAACTAAAGCATCTTTAATTATAGAGACAGAGGCATAAATAGTACCAAGTTTTGTTAATAATAGTCACGGGTATCAAGCAGAGAAGAAATTGAATATGTGTACAATTCCAAAGGAACTAAAGTTACACATTTTATATTTATACTCTTACATCATTAGATAATAATATTGTCAACAGCAGGACCTGTGAAAGACATCTATCACATATGTTTCTGCTTCCTTTTTTTCTTTTTCTTTCTCATACAACTTGATGAGGAAGTAGCAACATTATTAGAATAAGAGAATCCATATGATTCAATTTTTCTTATCAAACAATCTGAGAGTATATTATAGGATTTTATATTCATATAGACACATAAAAAAAAATTTCTTTTCTACAAGTCTGAGGTTATTTCCTGAGTTTAAAGTTACTATATATATAGATATATCTATCTGTCTATCTATATATATATATATATATGTATCTCCATGTGTCTCTGTATATAGTTTTGAGGAATAGTAAGTCAAATACTATTCTAGAAAAAAAATTTGCTATGTAAATCACTAAAATGCTTAAGAGAAGCTGGCAAATATATAATTTTGTGGTCTTTAAAAAATCCAGTCAATAAATATGATCCTGCAAGAAGACTTTCTTCATAAGTGTGCTTTAAGAGTAGAATTCCTTGTTGTGATCAACAGAAAAAAAATGCTGATTTTTGTCATCTTATTTCTTTTAGGTGGATTTAGCCTTTTCTGTAGCAGAGCTTTCCATTCAACAGAAAGTCAAGGAACCCAGTGCAGAAGACGAAAGGAGGAAATGGGAAGAAGGGCGTGTGGACTACATGGGAAAAGATGCCTTTGCACGTATCCAGGAAAAATTGGATAGATTTTTACAGTAGTCTTGTCAGTTGTGTCTGTATTCTAGTGGAAATGTCATTGTCATTATGTTCATGCTTCTGTGAAATGACAAAAAGTCTCTTCTGGCCCTTAGTAATGGGGAAGGCCTTTTAAATGATGTGCCTCTATTTATTTTCAGCCAACTTGAGTGCCTAAAAACAAGTAGTGCAGAAAATTCAAGTCTAGCTTGAAATGCCTAGGTGACCCAAGATAAATAACTTCTAGTTTTCACTATTAGATCTGTACCTCACTTAATCTTGCCAGCAAAATGATTGAGAATAAATATAGACTTTTTGGTAACAGTATGTATTATAACAGGAAGGATACCTAAAATATAGACCTATTCAGGGGCAAAAATATAGATGCTTAGTATAGTTGAAAATCATACATCAAGTCTTGCTGTTCACATTTCTGTAATAATGGTAGGAGATGCAGTTGATGATATATGGGAAAGCTTGATGATAAATGGATCTATTCCTATATGGTTAAGTTAAATTTCAGTAACTCACCTTTTTAATTTCACTTTCAGTTTTAAGATCTCATGAACTTTTTTAATGTCTCTGCCAGGAACTCAGATTCTGAACATACCACATAGAGAGGTCTCATAAAAGAGTCTCTTTAGTGTTATGTAGAAGAATTGGCATAGTGTTTCTGAAGAACTCATATTTTATTTCAGTTTTCCATAGAACAACTTATTGTGGCAATACCTGAAATGCTTAAAGAAAAGTAAATTTATAGTGTCTGTTAAATTGTCTCTCTTCCCTCCTCCCCTTATCAATATATATCTAAGACTCACTACCTCAGTTTTAACTAACTTATTTAATCATGGTGCTCTATAAACTCTTTCAATAGATTCAAAGGAATTCTCAGTTTTATGAGACTGATTGCTCAATTTTATGAGAAGTTCTCAAAAGAATTTGTATTTCATGAACCTACAATGGATGTTGTTACATTTCTTATGACCACTGTTACTGACCAGGCACATTCATCATAATAGCCAGGGAATTCACCCTATTGAAAAGAGAGGGGGAATAAATTTTTGAAAATTTTAGTGGCTTATTTATCATGTCTGCTGAAAAATGAATGACTAGTTTGCCATATATTTTGGAGGAGCTGGGAAGTTCACCTGTATCCTGTGGTGTTTTAATTGAATCAATATATTTGAAAACATTTCAAATCTCCCTGAAGTTGTTTGGTTCTGGGTCAGGGAGATCCAAATGAACTTTGAAATAACTCTTTTCTGTTAGGGCATCAGTTTATCTAAGGAAGTAGGATTTAGAAGCTTCTTTTCTGCTTATGACTGAATGATGGCTGACCCAGTAGTCCTTGCTAGTACCATATGCATATTGATTAGTGAAAGTCTATTTAAAAATAATTTTAAAAGGGCATGTGTTGTGTGGCAAATATAGAACTGGTGATATAATATTATTGGAAGTCCACCAGTACTAATTGTTTGAGAAAGGAATGCAAATATTGTGTGTTATGTTATTGAACAGTGGGTGAAAATAGATCTAAATCTAACAAATGAGGTGAAACACATAAAATGTGGAGTTAAGTGAACTAGCTTTATGCTCGGCTTCTTTTGTCTTTGGGAATGTGTGTCAACAGAGACAGCTAAACTGTCCTCTGGTACAAATTAAACTGTGCAGGTCAATCTTGCTGTGCTCTCTATTAGCATCAGGATTTTTAATCTCTTTTGAACTGTTCCCATTTAAAGCTTGTATAATCTACTTGTTTGTGCTTTGCATGTGTGTCCTGGGAATACAGGATGATGTTTTATGTTCAAAGGGAAGCAGTTTTATTACACATTTCCAAATTCTCCAAATAAAAAAAATAAGCAAACACATATTAAATGAATTTTTCATAACTGCTTCTAGAAATAAAATATCTAAAAGTGCTTATTTTTCAAATGATACCCACCTGAGAAAGCTCATGTCTTTCCAATAATGCCTTTCAAATTTTTATATTTACACATATTTTGGATGGCTCTATATAGACATAAGGAAGTTCAGAAGGACCCTGATATATTAATTATTCTGGTGTTGGGGACAATACATATTCCACAGCATTTCAGTGAAATAAGGAGATATATGTTGTAGGTAAGTTCTTCATGTACACAAAAATATGATTCAATAGAAAGTGTCACTAAATCCATTTTATTATAAGGTATTTTAAGATAGGATTTTATTCTTTTAAAATTAATTAGCCCACTGCACATGTTACCATTTTCCTCCAAAGGAGCAAGATGTTATTCCACCACTGTTTGTGAGGGTATCCATCTTTACTACACCTTTTATAGCATTCTGACAGCAATCCAGCATGCTGTGTTTGCTTATCTTATCCTATTCCTTTCTGATCCTTTCCTGGTGGTATGGGAAAGTTTCATAAAGGAGGCCATAAACTATCCCTGGTTCTTCTTTCTTCTCTCATTCATTTTTACTTTTAAGCGCTGGTTAACTTTCTAAGCATTTTCTAATAGCTCAACATAAATTGTTACTTGTCTATTATATGGAAATCCACTCCAATGAGCATATATTAATTGCCTGGTATATGCCAGGTACTCATTATTGAAAGAGAAATTAAAATAAAATTCCTGCCTTTAAGGAATTTACATTCTATTGGGGGCTAAGGTGTATACATAATAATTTGAGAGTGGAGTAGATTGCTAACAAGATGGGGAGAATTTTCCTAAGAGAAGTTTCCAAGAAAGTTTTCCCATAGGAGGTGGAATATGATTTGAGCCTTCTGTGAAGTTAGGCATTATCCTAAGAGGTGGCAGAGGCAAGGAAGCAGTGTATTTTAGACATGGGGCCTTGTGGAGAGAGACATGGAGGCAAGAGATGGGATGCCAAGTTTGGGGAAGAGGTAGAAGCCTGGTTTGGTTGAAACACAGAACGTGCCAAGGGTAATCGTATGAAATGAATCAGGAAAGTCAGGTCACATTATGAAGGGCTTTAAATACCATACTGGAGAGTTTGTAATAGAAGCAATAGAGCACCATTGGCATTCTTAAACAGGGGAGTGATAAAGATAATTTTTAAATAGAGCTTTAATGTTTGCACTTTTATGTATATCATCTTATCTGTTCTCAGACTTGTGCTTTAGGATGATTCTTGTGGCAACCATGTGGAAGAGAAGAGGAGAAAGACGTAAAGCAAGGAGTCTAAATATGAGGCTATTATAATCTAGGTGAGAGGAGGTTGAGTACATAAACTAGGGTGATGGTTATGTGAGTGTGATGAAGGGGACAGTTGTGAAAAATGTTGTGGAGTTGGAATTAACAATATTTGGCCTGTGTGTGTGTGTGTGTGTGTGTGTGTGTGTGACAGAGAGAGAGAGAGAGAAACTGAGAATAGTTTGGGATGATTCGAGATCCATGCAGGTCAAGGAGACAGCACCCCATGAATCTGGTTTGGGGCCATACACACATATATACTTTCACAAAATAAGATAATATATGATGATTGGTGGTAAATGAATTAAACAGTAAGTTCTATCAAGTTTGAGGAGATAAAAGAATTAATCTTTATGGAGGTTAAGGACTTCAGCTAGGACTTGAAATGAGTAACTCCATATAGGTAGAAAATGATGGCATTTCAATATACAAAGGTATGGAGACAGTATTCCAACAGATTTAAAGCAATAATGAATAAGGAGGCATGATTGAAGCAAGGGATTCATGTAGGGTAGTAGAGGGAGGTGGAAAAGGTAGACTGGGGTCAGGTTGTAGAGATCCTTGAATGGTAGGCCAAAGAGTTTAGAAATAATGCATAAGGCTAGGGGTTCTTAACTTGATAGAATTTATTATCTGTTTAATTCATTCGCCACCTATTATCATCACTATCCTATTTTCTCTTTGTATGTATGTATGTATGTATGTGTGTGTTTGTGCATGTGTGTAGCCCCAAATCAACTGCATGGTGTCTCCTTGATCTATATGGATCTCAGGATCATTCAGTTTTTTGTGTGTGTCATAGATGCCTTTGGTAGATTGGTGAAGTCTATGGATCCCTTTTCTCTGAATAATGCTTAAAATAAAATACATAGGATCATATAGGAAACAAATTATATTGAAATACAGTTATATATATTTATGTACACATGTGTATATGCATGTATATATCTATATGTGTATGTGTATATGTATTTGCGTATATGTATATGTGTATATGTATATGTGTATATGTAAGTGTATATATCTATATGTGTATATACATACATACATGTATGTATGTGTGTTTTTAAAAAACAACTTTATGAACTCAAGGCTCCTTTAGGCAAGTGGTAGCTATGGAATGTTCAGACATCACATGAGAAGTATTTTAGGAAGATTAATCCAATGTTAGTACAAAGAATGGACTGGAGTGTGGTGAACCTGAAGACAAGGAAACCAGTTTGGAATGAGGTCAAAAAAAGACCTGAACTCCAGTGATAGCAGTGGAAGGAAGGGATGGATTGATGGTTGGATGCAAGAAAACTGAAGAAAGAATAACCATGCTTGGTGATTGTGAGTTCCTCACCTTGGTTCCCTATATTCAGAGAATAATACATATACTTAAAGAAATGTCTGAAATTAGGGGCCTATATAATAGGGAGAATCATGATAGCAGTGATAGAATTGGACATCCATTTTGGGGGGATACTGTTTAATTATTAAGATGTTGGATTTGAGGTCATGGCAGGACATTTAAATGTGGATGTTCAGTAAGCAGAGATTTAAAATTAGTGCAGAGTTGGAGATACATGATTGTGAGTCATTGGTGCAGAGGATGAAGAGACATCCATGTAAGAGTGTAGAGAGAAGAGAAGCAGGATAAGCACTGAATTTTTGAAGTGTTCACTTTTAGAGTCAAGAAGATAGAAGAGGCAGCAGCAGTTTTCTTCTTTAACTGTTGGCCTCATTCTTGTGTTGCATTCCCTTTAGAGCTATGCTTCTCTACTTCCTTTTGCATTGGCAGGTCAAGTCCCTGTAGGACAGTTGCTACATCTGAGGAGCTGGGTCCTGCTCAATGGCTCTCACTGGTGTGCTCCCCATTATTAATCAGAATCAGATGAATTACATTAGGTTTTAGAAAATGGATTTACTGAGAAGTAGCAAGAACAAATGTTTACAGAACAATTCTTCCAAACTGCAGGTCTACTTTCTCCTTATCCACCAAAAGTCCCTGGGCATAGGTAGTGGGCTCAAAATTAAGGTACAGTAGTGGTGAGGTACATGTATAGCAAAGAGACAACACTTATTTTTGTTATGTAGGGTCACAGTCCCTGAAGCTGTTGTTATCTAGGGTGGCTTTTTTTTTTTCATATACATCTGCAGGCACATCCTTTATTATCCACTACTGCTCTGAAGGCCACTCTGGCCCTTTCCCCCCCCCCCCCCTTTCCAGTCACGTTTCAGGGAAAGGGTAAACACCAATTATTGCCAGATGTGGTTACTCATAGGTTAGG